GTTCGGGTGCTTACCCGGATTGTAACCAAAAAACATAAAACCACGGCTGCCCAAATCACAGCAGAATTAAATGTGCACCTCAACTCTCCTGTTTCCACCAAAACTGTCCGTCGGGAGCTCCACAGGGTCAATATACACGGCCGCGCTGCTATAGCCAAACCTTTGGTCACTCGTGCCAATGCCAAATGTCGGTTTCAATGGTGCAAGGAGCGCAAATCTTGGGATGTGGACAATGTGAAACATGTATTGTTCTCTGATGAGTCCGCCTTTACTGTTTTCCCCACATCTGGGAGAGTTACGGTGTGGAGAAGCCCCAAAGAAACGTACCACCCAGACTGTTGCATGCCCAGAGTGAAGCATGGGGGTGGATCAGTGATGGTTTGGGCTGCCGTATCAGGGCATTCCCTTGGCCCCATACTTGTGCTAGATGGGCGCGTCACTGCCAAGGACTACCGAACCATTCTGGAGGACCATGTGCATCCAATGGTTCAAACACTGTATCCTGAAGGAGGTGCCGTGTATCAGGATGACAATGCACCAATACACACAGCAAGACTGGTGAAAGATTGGTTTGATGAACATGAAAGTGATGTTGAACATCTCCCATGGCCTGCACAGTCACCAGATCTAAATATTATTGAGCCACTTTGGGGTGTTTTGGAGGAGCGAGTCAGGAAACATTTTCCTCCACCAGCATCACGTCGTGACCTGGCTACTATCCTGCAAGAAGAATGGCTTAAAATCCCTCTGACCACTGTGCAGGACTTGTATATGTCATTCCCAAGACGAATTGACGCTGTATTGGCCGCAAAAGGAGGCCCTACACCATACTAATAAAGTATTGTGGTCCAAAACCAGGTGTTTCAGTTTCATTGTCCAATCCCTGTATATACACAGGTCAGTTCATCTTATCATCTGCAGTAGTTCTGAAGACAGAATATTTTTGAAGCTTGTTCTGTTCTGAACTCTTCGTGTGGTTATTGGCAGTGAAATATTGCTCTTAAATGGACTGTGGATTTTAGAGAGTTTGTTCTGGGTCGAGGGAGTTTAATGTCTCCACCTTGTGCCCGCCTTGTTAAGTAATTATGATTTTGTTCAACAAGGACTAAGTGTTCAGCAAAAAATTAGGGCTGTTTTTTAAAGAAAACATTCCATATGAATAAGAGAAGTCTTAATTTAAGTTTATAAGTTGCTGTTAACCATGAAAGCCGTCCATGCATTGAAGCCACATTTGTTCTCTGTTAGCACTGAAGGACCGCTCTAGCCGCCCCTGTTTTGTGCCGGCTGAAGCTTGTGAAGCTCACTCTGTGAAGCAGATGACCATATCACCGGGCAATACTCAGGGCCCAGAGACAGAGATGTAAATGTGAGAACTTTCTGCTGGGATTTTTCCATCTGATAACACTGACCTCGAGGAGATTGGAGAAAACTAAGTGTTACGTAGCTGCTCCAGTTCCTCCTCACGTGTGACCTCCCAGATTTAATGTAAATTTAACTAAAAACATAACTGGGGGAGGTTTTAGTCTTAGGGGTGGCCAGCCGTTTGGCCCGTTAGCATCGCGCTAATGATCTATTTTGCTGCCCCGCTGGCAATATTAGAAGCACCCATTACACAAAAGAGATCATTTTCTGCCGCATACCTCTTTAAAACATAATCATATAGCTTACTATTAAATGGACAACGGCGTCAATTAATGTGCCGGCTGTAATTTATGGGAGATGATGTCTGTATTTATGGAGGCTATGAGCAGTCGAACAGCATCCAAACACATTAAACTGATGCAGAAAGAAAAAAGTGGAGTGTGTTAAGATGACTGACATAAAAACCAGTTCATAAAATTCAATGATGACACCGACACGATATTAATAAAATTCTGCAGGTTTTCCTCACCCAACAGCTAAAATGTTATTGTGCAGATCTCTTTTGGGTCTGCCACTCAGATAACAGTCTGAACTCTCCAATAATGGTGAACATCTCCCTAAATGGTTTTGATTTTGAGGCTATAGAAAAGACTGAGGCTGAGAAAAATCATCATTCTTGTATATTTTCTTGAATATACCCTGAATAAATGTACTTTCTTGTTTGTGCACCATGCAGATTTCCAATAACAAGAGCATGAATCTGTATTTTGTTGATATTTCTTAGAATTATCCATCGGTTTCCTGTTCAGGGAACCAGCTGTGGCACAAAGAAAACATTTGTGGTCAGTTATGAGAGAATAAGAAACCAAACATGATGTCAAATGAGTCATTTCTGAGAAATGTGGTCAAAAGAGCAGCGCACACTTTGTCAGCCGCACGGTTTTGAGCCACCCTCTATTTCCCCACAACCGGTGCTCGTGGTGAAGGGAAAGGCTCCAGGCAACCCAATAAACAATGCATGCCGAAGCTGTGCAGGGTCTCCTCATGCATAAGTCATGCTATGCATGTAGTATGACATGTTTCAACTCTACTGGAGGAGGTTAAAGCATGAACACAACACTGTACCCTGTCAGCAGTTTCCAAGAGATGCAAAATCTATAAAAGAGGACAGGCTCCTCTGGTTTTCATGGTGCAGCAGCCCTTTAAGGGGGGTGGGGGGTCCTTGTGGTGTATGTTGTGCATCTTAAACTGATACTTTTGCAGTCTTTTTTCGCTTTAGTGAAGATACATCAAAAAGCCGAGCTACATAGAGGACAGGCTGCAAGCTGTAATGAGAAAACTTAGTTGAAACTTGGTTGAAAGATTCAATTTAGCAGACAAAGACGCGAGTTTAGCTGTTGCAGAGAACATCAGAGTGGAAAAGGTCAGGGTAGATTTACTGTGCCGATTCAGCTTAAAATTTGAAAAATTTGAGTACTTGGAAGCTAATTGTGTTTGCACCACTTTTATAAACTAAGACGCTTTTTTTTAAAGGTCTAGTTTGTTAGCGCCACACTGCGAAGTTTAGGCTCTAAACATCAGAAAATGTTTTCAGCTGCATGACAATTAGTAGGAAAATGAAAACAGAACTTCACTTCTAATTTTGAACAACTTTAAATAAAAAAACAAAGCCATACTCTCGCCTTCAGCAATACTTCAACAGCAGCAGCTCCCTTTAGACCACGTTATAGCGCGAATAGACCACAATCTAAATGAAACATGTCTGCCCCTAACCCAGATGCCACTTAGCTATCAGCGAATTCCCCTGTCTTGTCATATCAAATTACAAGCTAACAGTGAATAAAAATACATCCCCACTCTCCTCAGTGATTTCCCATTGTCCAGAGACAGTTTTCGTACCAGTACTTTCATAAAACATTAATATTTAATGGTTCTACTTGACTTTCAATAGGCCCCCTCAGTCCCACTGGTTTGTTTGGATTAGAAACATACATTTAAAATAAAATAAAAACTCATCAAACATTATATTTGTATAATAAACTTCATATTTACTCTTTTTATAAGTTCACTTTTCATGTTATTCATGTGGATTCCAACTTGTTTCAGGCTCTTCGCCCAAAAGATGCGTCCATATTTAATGAGGGCAGAACCTTTCAACCCGCTCACCAAGTTGATTAAAAAAAAGCTCCCATCTCCTGTTTTCTGACCAAAAGCAAAAGCCAAACGCCGGCTGCAGCTGGTGGTGTAAATGTGAAGTGGGGCTGGAGTGCTTCAGTCATTAGGCGGCTTCATTTGGTTTGCAAAACTAAAATGACTTCCACACGAGGTCTGTGGGGCTCAACCACAGCTGCCAAGGGACAAAGTTGGGTCAACACATGCTGTCATTTCCCAAAATGAAAACAAATAAAACACTTTTTTTTCCCATTTCAATCGAATAAGTTGATCGTTGTAAAATGTTCATAACCCAACAATACAGAAAGTCACACTTCATAAATTCCTCACTAATGTTTGATTGGTTATATTTGTGTTTCTGTGTCTTAAAAAACACAACCCAGAAGTGTTTGAAAATTCTAGAAATGGCTTACACACAAGTAACCACAAGTCATTCACTTCAGCCTCATCTTTACACACACACTGATTTTCAAATGAACCAAATATAGAGAAACATAAATCATCTGTGTGTGTTTTAGAACAAAATGCATCTGTGTGTAAATTATATTCAAAGCTTTGAGATAGTGATCAAACTGTTCAAATAATAAGTAGCCAAAGTACATTAATAATTATCAACAATGCTAGATGCTGTTAAATAGCTGAGGAAGTGGTGGTGAATAGACAGCAGCAATAAGCCCGGTGTGAAAAATAAATCTATCGATCAGAATGACCCAGATAAAACATCAAAAATACTGAGAGTGAACACAGCCAAACATTTTTCTGTGGGTTTAGGTTGGTTTCATTTTGTCTGAACGTCCTTTACAGTTCATTTCTTTGGGGAAAACTGCCCTGAGAACACAGCAGATCTGCACTCACTTCAAATTTTCGGAATCCCAATTCCCACAACTTCGTAAGAGGTGCAGTATCACATTTGTTAACTACGGATTGTGACATCCTTTTTTTCTGGGGACTAGCACTTGTGCTACATCTGTCCCGGTGAACTTGGTCAGCTGGTTGAGAGCCTGACCCCTTCCACCCCAATTCCCAGGAACCCACCACCTCAAATGACTAAAACATTGCCCGATCCAGCCCCGAGCCGAAGGTGACACCTGAGATTGCAGCAAACCCCGGTGTGTTTGAGGTCCTTTCCACTGAACGCTGTTCTCTGCTCTTCCTCTCTCTGTGCTGATCCCTCCCTCCCCGAGCCTCCCGCCGCCTCTTCTCTCCCCTCATTCTGCAGAGTGCAGCCGCACAGAGAGCAGCTTCCAGACGTCTGTGGAGCCGAGTGGAGTTTCTGATGAATGCCGAGGGCTTCGGGGGGGCAAAACTCCTCAAAGATCTGAGAGTGTGAGAGCCTGGAAGACTTGAGGAGGAGAGGAGGAGGAGAGTGGCCGGCCAGACTGATCCTTCACTGGGTGGGATTTTTTATATCTGCCATGGATCTCAGGAGTAAAAAACTATGGGGAGTTGTAGCTCAGGTTGCCCTGATGCTTCTCATCCTTTGTGGGAACCTGAAAGCAGGTGAGTCCAGACAGTTAATCTCCAGTTTGTGTCTCAGAAGGATCAGATGTTGTGAGTTTGTCCAGCTTTTTTTTCATGATTCATGAGGAAACTGTTGTTTTGCATGTGGTAAGGTATCTACTGTGACTGAGTTTAGGTTTTCGTGAGCGTGCAGAAGGGAGGTTTTTTGCACTGGTTCGGTTGCATGTGGAGTTCCTGCTCTGGCTTACGTGCGACAGAGCAAAGCGAGTCAGAGCAGAACACCCCGGAGTGCCGAGAGAACGAGAAAACGTTGCGTTGCTTCAAGTTTCCAGCTGGTTCAATGGATCTGCATTTCAAATGTTCACAGGCTGTTTGTTGTTAAAAGCAAAAATCAGACTAAGCGTCTGGATTTTTTTTACGTTTCACCGCTAAATGGTTCTTTCTCCTGTCCCAGCACGAAAACAGATACATGTAGATTTAGATAAATAGATTCACATTTAATCTACTGTCTGATTTTCACCCTTTCTTTGTGCAACAGCACGTGAAACACTGCGTCGCACACACTGTCAAAGCCTTGCCTTAGTTATGGATTGGCTTTTGCATCAAATCTGACAGGTGAAAAAGTTAAGTCAAAGGGGTTGAAATCACTGTGATCTAGACAGTAGTGAAGACATACAAATACAGATGGAATAACATGAATTTCAGAGCTATATTTCTGACCTATTTAGCCAACAGACTTGAGCAAATAAGATTTATTGGATGTTTTTGTAGGCTGCTGGTCTCTGAGGTCTCCACAGAGGCCAGAACAGGACAAACAAAAGGTGGATCCAGCCACGGGAGGTTAGATTTCCCTTGACAAATCACAGCTGTTACGCCAAGGTACACTCACTGAGTGAGTTTCAACAGAGAGAAAATAAGGGAGATAAAGAGATTTCTTCTCAATCCAGGAAAAGGTTACGACTCCGTGAGGTGTCAGTCAGGATCTACAAAAGGAAAGAAATGCAGCTGGATTTTTAGCTCGGTAAACTGAACTTGGAACATATTTTCCCTCACAGAGGTAAAAACATACAAACATACAGTGCATCACCCATTAATGATCTCCAGAGAACCCACCTCTCTCCCAGGTTTATTTGACTTTGTGTTATTGCTGAGCCAGTGCCACAGGCAAGCCTCGACTAAAGGTTTCGGAAAGAACAAAGGATGTAAAACGTCTGCGAAAGGGCAGATATTATGTTCCTGCAGCTGGTCTCTGAGCACTCAGGCTTCTTTGGATTTGTCAGAACCGCCATATAAATACCTTGACATTTAAAGCCATTTTGATAGCAATCAAACCCGACACATTTAGTCATGTTTTACTAATAGAACAGTTCCATTATATTGTCTTATGACTTTTACGCGTGTAAATCAAACATAAAATCAAAACATTACACAATTAGAATAAAAAAGATTGATATAAAAAAATGTGGGCAATAAGTGTTAAACACCCAGCTGTAAGCTAAATCATCGAGTCATTAATGTTGAACGGAGAATAACCAGGTTCAGATGACTCAGGTTTAGTTATTCTGGGCCCATAGAAAGTGAGTATTTCAGAATGAGCGCATTAAAAAGCATTTAAACGTGATATGATGACTTTATAGACATTTTAGAACACATTATGTATTTAATTTGCATGTATTTCTAGTCCTTCTTTTAGCCAGTCCAGCTGCTAAAGGTACAATTATAAAAAGTGGGATTTTTCCCTGATAGTTGTCCAGAAAAATACATCAGGAATCCTTAGGGGTAGCCCTGAAAAAGACTTCCAGCCGAAGAGAGTTGGATGTTGTATCAATCTTTTGATAAATGTTTTTCTTTTCTTATCACTGTTCAACGGTGGGAGAACATTTAAGCCAAATAAGCCTTTAAGTTCACCGTTAGCTTACTTGTTGCTTTCTATTAGTCTTCCATTCATCCTTCAGATTTAGCCGTCCGCCGACAGTCCTTTCTCACTCCATTATCACTCCGCTCTAAGGTCTGCTTTTTGTCAGTTTATCACTTTGTGGTGTGCAGGTTTGTGTGTGTCCATTACTCCATACATCACATGCTGATGCATTAGTTTTATGAAGTATTTATACCTGGAGCGGGGCATTGCGAGGTCAGAAAAAAGCTGAGTTTAGCACAGATATTTACTACTGTTCGAAGGCTCCGAGGAGCTGAAAATGTCCCTTTTTTGCCTTCAAAATTCATAGGAAATCAATCACCATTCAAGTCTGTTCTCATTTGTAATGCGTTAAAGCACGACCCTGCTTTTTTTTTGTCAGTGTCTCACAATGCTCCAGCAGCTCTCTGGAGCCTTTTTCTTTTTCAGCAAACTAATCTCCAGCAGCTCTAAATCAAACACGCTTGATGTGAGATACAAAAGTATCCAATGATGAAGCAAAGTGGGCTTCCAGGCTGCTTTTGTCTACCCACATGAAAGTGGTGCAGACAGTGTTTCTGTGTCTCCGCTACTCCGAGGAATCGTTATCGCCCTCCTCGGCTGATGTGGAGTCAGTGGAGTGTGTGCTCTAATCGCTGCCTAATGACAGATAACATCGCCGCTCTCCTAACCCGCGCGCGTGTGTGTGTGTCTGTGTGTGTGTCTGTGTGTGTACGTGAACACATATGTCATTGTGAATGTGTGTGGAGTCGGTGTATCTGCAGATAAGAAGGAAATAGTGTTGAGGGGAACGCATAAATGGGCAACTGAGGAATTTTTCTGTAGCTACACACTGTGCAAAGTGTGTGTTGTGAACAAAATGATAACACTCAGACACACAGGTGCCAGATTAAACCCGACGTGTCGGATGGCGCGGAAATGTTTTCTTCTTTAAGCCAAACACTTCTTCTCTTTGCCAAATCTTCTTTAGGTCAAAGCAGATGGATGGATGGATGGATGGATGGATGGATGGATGGATGGATGGAT